AACTGCTGGATTCTCCACCTGGGATGGTCCTGGGGGTCCTGGTGGATGGCCAGCTGGACATGAGCCATCAGTGTCCTGGAGCAAGGAGGGACATCCCTGTCCTGGGGCACCGGGCCCAGCAGGGCCGGCCCGGCCAGGGAGGGATTGTCCCGCTCTGCTCTGGGCTGGGGCGGCCTCACCTGGAATGGTGTGTGCAGTTCTGGGCCTGACAGAATAAAAATGACATGAAACTGTCAGAGATGTGCAAAGGAGGGCCATGAGGATGGAGAAGAGCCTGGAGGTGAAGCCCTTTGAAGAGTGGCTGAAGGCACTTAGTCTGTTCATCTGGAGAAGAGGGAACTGAGGGGAGACATCACTGGGGCTTCAACATCTTCGCAAGGGGCAGTGGAGGGGCAGGTACCAATCTACTCCTCTCTGACACTAGTGACAGAACTCCAGGAAATGGCCTGAAGTTGAGCTGGGAGAAGTTTAGGTTGGATATCAGTAAAGATTTTCTCCCAGAGGATGTTTCACCACTGAAACAGACTCCTCAGGGCAGTGGTCATGGCACCAAGACTGACAGAAGCATTTGGACAACGCTCTCAGGTATGTGGTGTGACTCTTGGGGTGTCCTGCATGGGACCAGGACATGGACTCAGTGATCCTGATGGGGCCCTTCCAACTAAGCATGATTCTGTGATTCTGTGATCCAGGCCACCTGTGGGCTGGAAAAAGTTAAAAACCATGACAGCTGCTGGAACAGGAGAGCTCTGCCACTCTGGTCTCCATTCGCTGTCTACAAAAAAGTGCGAAGCATTGTCACTGAAGGAAAATTAACGCTACTCAAGACAGCAGTTAGCGATACTTACCTTTGTACATTTTCCACTGATTTATGTAGAGATACATCCATGCTTGTTTGTGTATATTGCTGGTAATTCTAGAGGACAATGATCACTACCTTCAGGCTGAGTAGCTCTGTTTAAAATCTAACAGCTTTTGGCTGTTTTACAGCTTTCTGGCCCTGAGGATATTTTTTTTTTTTTCAGGTTAGCTACTCTCTGGGGTCTGCTTTGGAACCTATAAGAGAACCATCATATTCCCACGTGTTATGGGACCTGCAAACCTTGCAAACAATATGTAGATCCAAGTGATGGCAATGAGAATTAAATGCATGAGATACTGTTTTGTTATTAAATTCACTCCACCAAAAATGCCCTTCACTGAGGGTGAACGCAAAAAGGGTTGAGGGCTGCCTCCATGAAGAAATATCCTTGTTGTTTTTAAATGTCTAAACCCCAGGTGGTTGTTAATCTTTTTTTATAATTTAGTTATTACTGAGGGGCAGCAGTACTGCCTGATGAAAACAAAATGCCTAAGCTGATGAGCTCCACTTGTGACTCAGGAAAGGAGGAGATGATGGGGCAGGGTGATCTAGACATCAGGTGCACTGCTACGTGCAATGCAGTAAATCAAATCTCTTCCTCTTCCACTCTTACTCCCACACACAGAGAAACTAATTGTATGACTCCACACACTGCAGATGCAAACACAAGATATTTGGAATCTGAGCCTTGACTTTGAGCTAACAGGAGATGATAACATTCAACTAGGTCAGTGCCTAATCACAGTTGGAAATCCAGGCCTGGATATTTTGTTCCAGGGAGGTGCAATATAGCCTTGGTCTTAAAATGTATCTGAAGGGGTTTTGCTTCTCAGATGCCACTGAAAGGTGAGGAAAGTTGGGGCCCTCCTTCCCTCTGCTTCCTTTTAAAAGTTTCTGTGAAGACAGACCCTTCCATCAGCAAGAATTGTATGTGGTGGTCATGCTTCTGAGAGGTATCTGTAGGGTTTTTGAACAGTCCAACAAGCTGAGCTGAGGAAATTACCATTAGCTTTTCTGAGAAAAGTAAATTCTGATCATCTCTAAAGGTAAGTACATGTTGATGACTATTCTCAAAAATGGATAATGGCTTAGGCTTTCAGCTAGTATAAAATTACAGGGGTGAATTCAAAGAACCAAGCTCATTAACACAAACTGCAGAGCTGATGAACCTTGAATAGCTGGAAATGCTGGGCTTTGGATTTTATAATTAGACTTCTGATAGGAAAGAGAGACATGAGAGATTAAGAAAGCAATTAATCCTGTCACATAACAAACCATATCTGACTCATCAGCATTAGCAGCAGAAAGATCTCTAAAATTTGTCCTTTGAAGCCAGGGTACTGTAATAGAGCTGTTTGAATAAAGAGAATGGAAAAGCACAAAATGTACAAAATGCATTCCTTCTTGCCTGGCTCTGTTTCCAAACTGCCATCTCTTTCTTTTCAACTGCTGTGGAATAACACCCAAGTCAAATAATTTTCATCTGTTTTCATTTCTCGGATAAGCGAGTGCATTCAGAGTGAGCACTACAGAATTACTCAAAATTCATAACAAAGCATCTATCAGAAGATAGATGTTCTTCGATCTTGATGCGTCTGCACAGCCCCCTAATATGAAAACAAATAAATTGTTGTAATACACTACACATGGCCTAGCTTCTTATAAATGAAGAGCATTCTCTGAGCTTCCAAAGAAGAGTAAGGTCACACAGGTGTGAAATACATGAACATCTGAAATGTTTATTAAGGACACTAAGTTATCCTGTGTGGAAGTAAGGTCTCCAAATATATTATGCTTGTCAGGGGCTCTGCAAGTATTGTTTCCCTAAAGACAAAAACAAAGAAAATCTTGCAAGCATTTCCCAGAGGAAAGGTGATTCACTATGCCAGGTTGAAACCCAGTACACTGCAATGTAAGCAGCCCATAAGACTTGGTGGCACAGTGTATGGAAATCCAGGCATGACTCACACACTCAATGTAGGACTGCAAGGAGATATGTGCAATAATTGAGCAGAACTTTAGCATCATATCCCCCATGTTCTGTGCAGAAGTACCACGCAGGAGCAATCCCTTCTGATTCAGCCAAGTGCTCAGGGAGGTACTTGGTCCCATATGTGCACCTAAACAGTACAGGAGAGTGATTTAAGCAAGTAAATAAGATTAAGTATAGGTTTAAAGGTTTTACATCATGTGCAGCCTGGGCTTAAATGACTTGCTAAAGCAAAGAATGTATTTTTTATTCTGAATTGATTTTTCTCAAGCCTGGGAGGTTGAGGAAAGAGAACAATCCCATTGCAGAGGACAATCTTGGACAACAATGGGACATCCCTGTAAATTTTCTATAACCAGCAGTGTGCTGGAGTGCTCCATTGTCTGAACACAAGGGATGGAGCTTCAGTCCAGGTTTATCAAAGGTGGGCTTAGCATGGCTCAGCTCCATCCTGGGAGCGAGAAGGGGAAAGAGATGAGGGTAACATTAACACTGCCTAACTGTAGACACACAAATTCAGTGCCTGAATGAAGAGTGTTATTCACAATTGCTATGTATACCTGGGGACAGGAAGTCTCCTCCTTACTCTGACTCAGAATGACCTCTGGATCTACAGATGCTCTAAAGCAGATTATGTCTATTAATTTTAAAGTAAATATAAATAAATATTCAATATATAAATACCCCAAAATAAATAATATTCAAATAGAAATGTTCAAAATATTAGTAAATACTCATTCATAAATATTATGAATACTTCTTCCTAAAAAGCTTCAAATCCGATGCTCAAAGTCACAAAGGAATTTTGACTGCAATATTTTTGCTAGAGACTCAAGATCCAGTGTTTTCAGAGGCCAATACACACTTGTCAATTGTGTTACAAAGCCAGCAATATTTAACTGTCTAAACTGTTCAAAGTCCCCTACAGAGTTATGGCTATTTTTTGCATTACAAGAGTAGAGTTATTTTTCCCTTAGTACAATTGTAGAAATACAGAATTCTTTGGGAAATTCTTCAGCCACAGTTGCTAAAGGGATTACCAAACAAGCAAATCTCTCTTCATTTTCTGTCCCACTCCAAAACATGCACTATCAATTCTACTATGGTATGGAAAATCCAAGCTGAAATTTAGCTTTAAACTCTGTTTTACCGAATCATTGCTGCAGCTTCTTCCTTCTTGCTGTTCCTGCATTCTAGCATCGAATAGACTTTACACGGAGTTATACATGTGCACATGTGTGTATTTTTCTACATAAGAATGTAAGCAATGAAATTTATTCTGACAGCCTGATGCCTGAAACTCATGGATGAAGCAGTGTTTTTAATAACTACTGGTATTTTCAGAAAAGTTTAATTCAAGGTTGGTGCACTTCTCTGAAATGAGGTAATGGAAATACAGTTTAAAAGATGAGAAACTCACAGCTGAAAGTTCTTTCTAAGTCCTCAGTTTTTAATATGTCTCTCATGAACAGTGAATTAGGATGGAAGTAGCTGAGCTCCCTGTTGAACTGTGGGATTGAACTTCATCTTAACATCCTGGATGTTCATGGTGTTATGCACCCCACCAATGTTATTCTGAATAGGGGAATTAATTCTCTGAGTCTAATGAGGCTGGCATATGTCTCTCCTCTTTGTCCAGCCTTTATGGATCTGTTTCACACGAGCCCTCCGTGCAGCAGCACACGCAGAGCTGCATGTCCCTGGTCCTAAGTGCATTTCCTTATCAGAATATATGGCGCTGCATTATGCTGCCTGTTTATTGTTTGAAACACTAACTGATAATGTGGCCATAGTCAAACAAAATGCTACATGCAACAGCAATCAATTCATTTGTTATAGGGAAAGAATATGACATCAGAAAGAAAGAGATATATACTTGCTATGATTGGAGGCAGTCAAATAGCTGAAACGATATAACCATTAAGATATATTTTCCTGATAACCACCCACTTTCATATATTATCAATTTATTTTTCTCTGGTGTCTTAGTGGAACTTGGAACATATTAGATCTATTTTTTTTCCAGTAGGCATTTAGTGCATTGCTGGAAGCAAAATTTCCCATTCTTTCTGGTTACATTATTCTCACAAATTGCAGTAGGAGAAGTGATATTTTTAATGGGTACTTGTGTAATTAAATAGAAGAGTGTTCACAGAAATTAGCTTTATTAGTGCCAAGTAGGGTTGGAGTTTGAATCTTTTCAGTCTGCAGTTAGAAATACCAGATAGCCAATTGATTCCAAGCAAAATACACATTTCTAGAGTTTTCCTTTTCTGAAACACTGTTGTGAATGGAATGGCTCCTCAGAGCTTTGAAAATGGACTTCCTGAAAAGAAATACTTGATCAAACAGAAAGGGTTTAGGCTGTGTTATATATTAACTATTTTTTTTTCCCCCTGTAATTTTTCGTCTATAATTATTTTCAAAGCTGAACTAACTCAGATGCCAACTTTCCTTAGCTTTGTGATGTTTGGAAAACTGCAGTGGCATAACTGGCTTAATGTTGCAGAAGAAGACCCTTGGACAGGGCAGTCCCTCCTGCTGTTCTTATGCACAAGGAGTTAACTGTGACTATCACCTCCACGAGTGATCCGTGCACAAAAAACAAGGAACAATCAGGTGTTTCCCCCTCCCTTGAATGTGCTGTTTTAACAAACAGACCACATCCTCGTTTAATCTATGACACTGAGATAATGCAATAATAAATACTAGAGATAGCATTTTATTTGTAAGGCCCCTCGTTTTTCTCTCTTAAAATAGCCTTCTGTTCACTGAAAATGCTTATGTTTGTTTTCAGAGTGAAGAGGAGAGGGAGAGGTAAGAAAGAGGATGCTCATCTGAAAACTAACAAGTTTGGAGTTACAAGACGTGACTGACCAGAAACTCTGCTTGGGTAACTCAAAGCTGGTGAAGGTAGAAAGTTCGAATGCAGCATTTCAAAACCCAGTCAACTTGTGAGAAAAAAATACTGTTTAGCGTGGTAGTTTGCTCTAATTTAGGCTTAGATTTCTCTCTTTTCTAAATGTTACTTCAGAAACCCATTTTCTGTGCACATTTACTGTAAGTATTTCTCCCAAGGGAAAGTATCCCTTGAAATCACAGCAAAAGTGTTTTATTTATCCTTAGGGCATTTGACAAAGCAAATTTTGTAATTGAGAGGTAGTTGGTTACACTATTTACAATGCATAGGGGTTTAAGGGCTTGTTTCTCTGCTGGCCTGAAACGTGAGTAGTGGTGGAGGGAACAACAAATGTTTCAACTGTTTTCATGGAAGGAAGTGAAGACCCCTGTGTTTACCTTGACCCCCTGACCCTTTTTGCTGCATTATTTCATTTTAGAGCTTCTGACACACACATCTGTGTATTAAATAGGCAGAATATTTTTAACTGTCTGAATTACAGACAGTACTGCTGTCTCTGTTGTCCACAGCAAACCTTTCTTGGCTGCAGCTCTGAGGAGGAAACAAGTGAGTGTTACTGATGAAGAGATCCCTTGAAAGCCCTCATTTTCAATACATTTCACATTTTTTTCCACCCAACCCCTAGTTATTTCCCCAAGCCATTATTTTTCATTTTAAACTCAATTTCCTGTTCCTTTTAAGTCAATACCTTGACTTTTTCTTACTGTTTTCTTTACAAATGTTAAGACCACACACTGAGCTCTGCTAACACATTGTATTATGCTACTAGTAGACAAATTTTAACATCACATCACATACATGTTGCGGTTGCTGTTGTAACATGCCTTTTAAAAAATATGTTTATTGGATGAAATTGTCTCTTTCTCAAGAAAAAATCTGGTTCTTCAATATTATTTATTATGCCTTTTAAAATTCTGTCTGTTCAATAAAATCTTTGCTATATTATAAATACCTGTAACGAAAATATAATTTAAAATTCTGAGAGAAAACTTTTTTTTTTTTACTTTTACATTTTTCACAAAATCCACACAGGCACCAAGGAAAGACTAACAATAAAAATAATTTACTCCTGTACAAGCTGATCTGGGTTGGAAACATTCAAAACAGAGATTTTAAACTTTTCCTCTGTTGAAACTTTGGCTACAGCATAGGAACTGATCTTAAAACAAAGGAGGGTCTTTTGTTTCCCACCCTTTTAACCTGAAAATTTCTTTCAAGGCCTAATGGAGTGTTGTTAGTACTTTCCTCACTGTAATATACCTGAATGAGGACTGGCTGAATTTGTTGTTATCTGAGGGAACCAGCCTCTAAGCTTCGTTGCACAGGACTAAAAGTGGCCCTTACCTCACCAGATGAGTCTATTCTGAAAATTAAATATTAGTGAAAATAAGTGCTCTCATTCTGTAATAGCAGCAATTAGAAATTTTCATGGTTTGCTTGTTCATTAGTTATGCATTGCCAGAAAGCTTTTGCTTGGAAAGGACAGCAAAGGGAAAGCTTTCTGATATGGACCACTTGAAGGGATATTTTTTTTTTAATGACTTCTCTTCCTAAGCAAATTTCTTAGTAGAGAGGGAGCAATTCAATACAAGAGACATTCAATAGTGGAATAGCCTTCAACTGTTGACTAGAAGAATATTAAAGAATCCTTAAAACTATCAAAAAGGCAGACTAAGCCCAAGACAGGCATAAAGCTACCACAAAGAATGTTTTTCTGAGTCTTACATTTGGTAAGATAATTTTCAAGGTTGTCTTTAGTCCTTTTTTTCCACAGAAGACTTAATAAGTTGCAGTAAATAGGTTAACCTTTGAATTACAGAATTTAGTGTGAAAACTTTTGAAACTTTTATTTGATCTGATGGATTATGAGCAAAATGTAAAATTCCTGTCTTAGAGACACTTGCATAATTTTAAGGAATAGACAGTGAAGAAGAATCCAATCAAATATTTCTAGAGAGTCTGCAAAACACATTTCAATAGTAGATAAGAGGAAGTAAAAAGCAGTCAGCACTTTTTTGTGTTTTCTTTAGCATTTCAATGACATAACTATCCCCTAGGAATCTTCATTTCCTTGTTCTAGATCCCCTACCTTTTCTGAGCATCCAGCATGGCTTTTTTTTTTTTTTAATTATTCAAAGCAAAACAATATATAAGTTTTAGTCTCTTTAAAGAGGTATGTGCGTAAAACTGCTAATGTTAGGGAGCTTCTCACCCTAGTTGCTTTCTGACAGCCACCTCTGCCTCAACCCATGCTCACCCTTCTCAAGGTATTTTGTTTTTTTGTTTTTTCAATCTCAGATAATTTTGCCTTGTCTTCCTAGATGTTTTGGGAATTTTACAGTCTGTGGATGGACTTTTCTGCAGCAGCTACCCCTTCTATCCCACTCAGCCTGACTACTTGTAGATCTCAGGAATCTGAGAATCTCAGAAAGGCAGCTGTACTACTTTGAAGACCGAACTCAGGCTCCACAGGTAGGAGGCTGGAGCTCAAAGCTCATATGATTGACACAAATAGATTAAGTACTCCATCAGGTGATTCACAACCAATTAAAAAGAAAGCCAAGTGCTCTGAAGTGAGACTCTGTCCTCATTAAACACATACAACCTAGAAAGACCAGGCTCATAATTCAGGCACTTCACCTGGTTAAGTTCCAGGCAGCTGGAGAGAATGCCATCCCATGGTCTGGGATGCCTCACTGTGGGCTCTTTTTTATTAGGGTGTGTTTCTGTCTGTAGTCTAAATTGTGAATAACTTCATCAGTGTTCACTGATGCCCCAGTCCAAACCCAGCCTCCCAGATGTTCCTTTACAGGAGAACAGAAGGGCAGGGGAGCATTGTTTGGAGAAGGAACAAAACACCTATGACAGAAGCAATACTGGTTGCAAGTATTAAATCAGAATAAATGACAAATATAACAAAGACTGCAATATTCATGACAAATCCATGGATGAGAATATATCCCCATAGCTTTGGCAGTTTGGTTCAAAACTGCTTGGTAATTCAGGTTTTGAATCCTACTGCATGCTTAAGTGAAGAGGGTGGAAGAATAAGTAATGTGAAAATTGTTTAAAATAGAGTACTAAGGTTTTCAGGGGAGTCCTATTGCATTTCATGCCTGAGGGGGCAAATCTATACTGCAGAAAGGTTTTGAAAAAAGATAATACTAAAAAGTGTAATTTTCCTTCCTTATCCCCTCACACCCGTTTTTTCTCTTCCTTGATATTTGTATTAAATATGAAGCAATCAAAGCAGCAATCACACAACTAGAGCATACACAGACTCTGGAAAAAAAACTACAGGTGGGGAGAACGAATATTTCCAACTCAGTGCCATACCCTACAGTTAATTTCCTTCATTTATGATATCAACCAATGCTTGCAGCAGTCTGTCATCTCTATGCTTGTAAGGTTTGGCATTGTAAAAAAGATCAACGTAGTCACTGTACAGACTTTCTTCTGAGCCTCTCAACTGGGAGGGCTTGTTCAATTTTTTGAGGGCTTGATAGAAGTGTTCAAATGGAATGTTTGACTTCTCGCTTGCAGTCTTGCTTGGCAGTTGCTTCTGATCCATCTGTCTGCTAAAAGCACTTTGCAGTAAATGCAGCATGGCCTCTGATGGGATTTTATCTTCTGCTTTGTCACTGCTGCTGCTGGTGTCTTCTGTGGCTTTGGGTTTTTCACTCAGGCTCTCCAGTGTGGTATGGTCCTAGAACACAGGTTAGCATGAGAAAAGGTCAGGTGTCAAAAAAAGACTGACTGGATTAAGGTTTGCTCTGGTTGGTTATCTCCATCTATACATGGGCAAATGTTACTTTTCCATTCAGGAGCCACTTGGGCATGTAGAAAACAAACAGACCATTATCAACCAAAGCAAACAATTGAATGGACTATACCATAAAAAATATAAAATCCCCCCCCATATCAGCAGTAATAAATTCAGATTCCACATTGGCAGGATACAACACGTCATTTTATACCAGTATTTATCCCAGACTTAAAAGATATTTCTGGCTGTGCCACAGGACACAGCACTCTAAATGAAGGAAACATATATGCAGTGGTGATGTCAGCTCTGATTGTGCCTTGTACTCTTAGAAAAATGACAGAACCAGTGTTTCCATGCAACCTTCTCTGTAGATGATTTCACCTGAGAAAAAGACAGTGAAGTAAGGCTAATCTGTGGTCATAGCACATATCTAGGAGACCTTGGAAGACCAATACTAAATAAAAGTTCACAGAGCAGTTGGTGAGAGGCTTGATCTTGTTTCAACATTAATATATTCCTGCAGAGCTTCCTCATTCAGTTTAGAACTGTATTTCTAACTCAGCACTCATTTTATCTTCACGTAATTTCTACCATGTCTGCCCATTTCCTCCTACAGCATCTGCAAATCTACATTTGCTTTCTTCCAGTTTATTTCCTTGCCTGTGGCTATCAGACCTGGTGACATTTATGTAATGGATTTAAAGACCACTATCACACCCACCTTTCATAACCTGTCTGAGGAAGGTTAAACTATCTGCGCTCTATTGCTGTCCTAATTACTTAATGGGGAGACAATTTGATGTGATGGGACTATTTTCTGAAGCTGTTGATGTAATCAAGCACTATGAAAATGTCCATTACTACCATCCTGTGCCATCCTGAAACCCAGGGTCACTCCGCCCTGCTATATTTTTAGAGCACTGTTATCTGTAGGGTAAACAGGGGGTGCTAATGGATCTGGCAGGAACAGATCCACTGAGCCAAACCTCTGAATCAGTGAATCCCTGACTTTTGTCAAGCCCTTTGTTCCTGAAACTCCTTCCAAACTCACTGGAAGCACTCCAGCAGGCAAAGTTCCTTTAGAATGTGACGTTCTCAGTAGAATTACATAAATTTAGTGTGTCTGTCAGAGGTGTCTTCCTCACTCCTTCCACCACTCAATTGCATTAGCCACAGAGTTCCGTGGTTTAGGACAAATTTCCTGTTATCATCCTAAACCCCTTACATTTTGAAATTTGAAAACAGACACTAATAAACACATCAGTTGACATGGGCAAAATTTCAGTATACACTCAAAAACAGTCAGGGGTTAGATGAAATGAATACAAAATTAATATGCATCTTCTTACAAGGCCAAAAAAAAAAAAAAAAACCCAAACAAACATTTCCTTATAAACTGAAAAATGTGTAAGGAATAAATGCAATGTAACTCTACCTCTACAAGATCTGTCATCTTCTCCACTCCTCTTCTGTCGTTCTGCACAGCATTGTAGGATGTATACACACGTGGCTGCTTCATGTGTTCAGGCTGGGTAGCAGTGCCGTGCAAAATCAATTTCCAGCTTACAATCCTTCCCTCATTTTGTATTCGTCTGGACTGAAAAACAAGCGTGGCATCAGAATAGGTTCTCAGGACATAAAGGATTAAAATAGACACTTGAATGCAGAGTACACAGAAGCGACCAAATCAAATTATCCGGCTTTCAATACCTACCTATAGAGTATGATTCATAAGCACAAAGCCCCCAGATATAGTGGAGACAGAGTATATTAGAACGTGGGATTTAACACAATAGCTTAACCACTCAAAATATTCACATTTTGATGTAACATAATTATTAATTCATCTTGTAATCATAAATGGAATTTTGTCATGGAACAAAATGCTAGAAGTTACTGAAGTAGTATTTTGCATTATTAGAATTTGTTCACTAGGCCATTCCTTGGTAGTTTCCTTATAAAAGATATCATTGGAAATGATAAGGTGAAATATTATTATTTTCTATTATGTGGTGCACAACAGCAATCTGAAATATAGGGCGTGGAAGTAAACAGCAGATGTTTATTTATAAGTTTTGGTAGCAGAATTTCAGAAGCAGAAAGTGAAAGAGACAAGTACAAAAAACAGAAAAACCTGTAAGGTGAGGAAAGAGTGTATTAAGCCTTGAGGGCAAAAATCTTGCTTTATTGTAAGTTTCAGGAAGCTCTCACTTGAAAGGAGAGCTAATTTACAAACAAAATGCTCTTTCAGCTTTGTTCCACAAAAAATGCATTCAAAGATCAGGATATCTGTAACCATGGGGTTATCTATCAGCCTGCAGTATTAACACTGGTGATAGAAATGTCTATTCCTGGTGCCTTGTCCATCTGCTCATCTCTTGGCAATGCCCTCATGTTTACAATTTGAGGCCAATAGGGGCTGAAGGCTCAGTGTCTAACAGGAAGCTTTCAATTTTTGGCAAGATCTGACCCCTAAGGACAAGCTTATTAACAGACAACTTCAATGAGATGAGTGAGCTTGATCACTCTCTCTTTGAAGAGAATTATTTTTCAGTTGCCTACCAAGTAGCTTAATTCTGGTGTCTTGCTGTTGTAATCCATATTCCCATGTGGATTTAGTAAACTGATTTATTTCATATCTGTAGGCAACTTGGCTTTAATCCTCAAATATTATATCTTGTTATATATTTATAACTTGTTACATAATCCTTAAATCTTATACCTTGTTCAACACTAGATACTCTCAGAAAGAAACTAGGGAAATGTATTCATCAGAATAGGTCACTGAGATCCCCAAAAAAATCATTAATTCAAAAGGTTTTCAGTTAATGAAAACTGTGTACATGGACCAGGAGAAGACTAGATCCATGCTGTGTTCTTTCCTGCAGAAAAGAATTTCCAGTTAACCATATGTTAATTTGTTTTCATATTTCAACCCAAGAATCACAAAAAACTTTATTAAATTATTAATTTTGATGGCATGTGTCTGAAAAACACAGGCATGAAATTTTTTTGACAAGTACCTGTCAGTGAAACGAGAATGGCACTTTGCATTTAGGTAAAGAACAAGGAAGTCTGACCCTACCTTTTTTCTTTAATCTTTAACCCAGCTGGATATCTTAAATAACCCCTCATTTAGCTTGCTTAATGAGCATTACCCAACGTGCTTTGTAGTTATGAGTGATCATTTCATCTGTGTTAGTTCCCCAACACAGCTAGTTAGCATGCAGGCATACTCACCATATCAGTAATACTTAAAACCCAGGTGCCTGCTGGATTTTCCCCCCAGGTGTGGACAGACATGAAGTCCCAGTTCTTGAAGCCATTGGGAGATTTGTCTCTCTCTCTCTCAGCCAGTAAGACAGTGCTGGTCCCTGTGTGGGTGCAAGATCAACACTGATTGTCCATGCACTGCCTGTTCCTACTTTCCACATTTGTCAGCTTGCACACTGCCTAGAGCAGAGGTGACCTGGAAAATACACTCTTCAGCAGTGGCTCCTTTAGCAGTGGCTCTTGTAATTATTTTTACAGCAGTGCTTAGGAGTGCATGAGCTGTCAGGTCACACCAAGAAGGTACATCTTGTTCAGTGTTCTATCTCTGGCACAAAAGGTAGTGAATGCACATAAAAGAGGCATAAGGAGAAGATGTCAGGCACAGCCAGTCTTTCCCACTGATGAGCTGTTCAAGAAACTTCTGAAACAGAAGTTTCGATGGTAAACCAGCTCATGCAGAACCCACAGTTTTATCTGATTTCATCACTGGTTTGGGGTTTCTTGGTGAGTGGATGAGTATTGTTACAGCTTGGTCCTCCAACAGGGTGAAAAAAAGCATTTGCATTGCTATTATTACAAAAATGCTGCAGCTCACAAAGCATTTCTACAGCAAAAGCGGTTCTACTGCACAGGAGGAAATTTGTTTGGCTTGTTTACATATAAGGAAAAAAGCAAGGGAGCAACTTTTACATTATGAGGAGCAGTGAAGCCCCAAGGAGCCTTGTCACAATTTATGAATATATTTAAAGGTAACAACATAAATATAGAAAAGGAATGACAAACATTTGCTACTAATGTTTTGCAGGAAAGTAGAAGAGTAACAAGAAACAAGGGAAAAACAGTTTCATCATGAAAACAAAATGATAGTGCAGTAGAGGCAGCAGTACTTGATGATTGCTACCTAGAAACAGAAAAATTAGATAAGCCTTATATTTAAATTCATATATGAAAGCTTGTCTTTTTTTTTTCATATTAATGCCAGTTGATCTAACAGACTTTACTCTTAGTTGTTTATAATATTTCTTTTCTTTTCCTTTTTTTTTTTATATTTTTGTCTTATTGTGTTGTTTCAGGGCATTGTCCAGACAGCTTGCCATATTCTAGCTCATTTAGTACATTTGTACTAAGGTGCAAAAACACTACTTTTTTTTTTAATACACCAATGGGGAGATGCATGAAATGAAACCTAAGGAATCAGATACCCTCAGTTTTCCATTAGTCTGCTAAATCACAGGAACTCTGATAAGAATTATTGATCTATAATTCGTTGTCTGCCAGGAGACCTGAGGTTTCATAGGTCCAGTTCCCGCTGTGAAAACATTCTGTGCTCTTATTTTCTGAAGTATGATTTTCAAATCTCCTTTCACAAAAATAATCCAGAACCCGGGGGAGGTTGAAGAGGGGTCTCTAGAGCTCCCTGGATGATTTATCCTCAGTGGATTTGTCCAATGATATATTTAACTCTCTTTAACCACTGAAAACCACATTTTTTTTTCATTAAAGTAAATGCTGCACACCACAGCAACACAAGCAAAATGTGCCTTTTTGTCCCATACCTGATGGAGAAACCAGAGTGACATGAAGATCACCTCTACGGGAATATTCAATCGTTGCCTCGAGCTGCACGTGCTCCAGAGATGCAATGGAGTTCCCTTGACCCTCGCAGGCTTTTGTGGGAATTTCAATGATGACTTCTTCATTTGCTCTTAATAATCTGTCAAAATTGAGGTAGTTCTTTAATTACCCACGGGAACTTTTGATTCTGGGTCATGAAGTGTAAATGACACGTTTAACAGCCATTTCAGAGTGATGAGAAAGGAGGAGTCAGTGCCAGCTCAACAAATAAAGGCGATGTCTAAGTGTTCATGCTCTGCACAGAGAGACACCCTGCATAGCTTTCTCTTCACAGTTCCCATTACTTCCAAACAGAATGGGTATCCAAATCTCCACATAAATAATTCTAAACTCAGGATCATGGGACCTTTGTTCTCATCATATAACACACAGGACTGCAATAAAAATACATAATGAGCAAATATGGCATACATCAGTAATGGGTCAACATTCCTTGAAAAAGACAGAGTCCATAAAAACAATTTGATGGTAATATAGCTTAACTAATAAGATTACCAAGCAGTGACTCTCCAAAGCACTGCAATATATTTCTGCAGACAGATCTTTGTTGCATTTACATGGTATAATTTCAGCCTTTGAAACAGATCTTTTTTCCTCGATAAAAAAACCATGAGAACATGTGGAGACAGAAAGAGTCTAGATATCCTTATTGATTAACCAGCTCAGTGACTAATGATAATTAATCTGTCTGTTCAGGCTCATTGTGCTGTTGGCACGTGGCTGATAAGACTTTTCAGTGAGCTTTTGAGACACTTGTGTTTCATAAGAGAAATGCAACAGACATGACTAAAGCTCAATATATCACCTTGATTTCAACATATACAAGCCTGTCACATGAGAAGAATTGCTTAGACCCATTACAGACGTTTTATTTTTTAAAAGTCTTTGTAAGACGTCAGTATCTTTTTAGCTGTCTTCTAATGGCTGTCTAAAAATTCACAGCCTTGCTGATTTAGCTCAGCTTCACAGTATCATCTTTTCATACATTGTCTGCACAAGCAGAAATAATAGTCTTAATCTTTGTTAAGACTTCCTTCTAGTAATTTCCATCAGTCTTACAATAAAAAAAAAACAAACCAAGAAGCAAATGCTGCTTGTCTGCTTCTGGGGAATAGAGTCTGGCAAATCTAAATGAATAAAAAGAAGTCCCTTATTCTCATTCAGAGTAATCTGTGAAGAATATGACCCTTCAGGCTTTATTACAACAGACACCAACTTGGTAACTGGTAATGCAAATCCTTACCTGGGCTCAAAGCTCTTGTCTTTGACAATACACTCTCTCTTTTCTGGTACACTTTTCCATCTCTTGGGATCAGCTAAATCCACCAAGGCATTGGCGTTGAGTAGCCCAAACCCAAATCGACTGTTGACCATCAGTCCTGCTCCATTTTTTTTCCATCCTGGATTTCCAGCCAGTGGATCATATTCTGAGGTCCACACTACCAAGTGCTGCATATCCCTCCACGTTAGGTCTGGGCTGTTTGGAAAATGTTCCTGGTTAAATGTTTCAGGGCTATCTATAATTTTTCTATCAATTGTTAGACTGAAACAGAACATGCTTTGAGTGTATATGGCATCCCAGTGTTTTATAATACACAGCCTGTTGCACTTGTCCTTGGCAGACAAGACTTCTGTGTCCATGAAGAACAGGTGTCTAGCAAGAGTAGAGCCCAATCCTCCGAAACAATTCAGGCATTTAAAGTTAGCTAGTGATACTAGAATTTCCCATCCATCTTTTTAAGGACCTGGATTTCTGAAAACTGGTGTTTGGTTTCATCTGTGACTCACTCTACCCTTTAAAATATTTAAGTGTCTTGGCTCATGTCACCAAAGGTGTGTTCAGTGGAAAATGGAGCTGAATCTACACCATACAAGTGTTGAACTATGCACTACTGTCTAAAGTGTTTTCTGTGAAAAAAGTCACTGTCCTTCCCTTTCTTAGCTTCCCCAAGGTCTAAACTCTGACTACCTGCCCTACAGGGTCCAAACCTGGCTGCTTCCTACCTGCTCTGAAAGAAAAGCTTCAGCACCTTCCCTTTTATGTCTCATCACTGGCAGAAATTCTTCTGTAAATTGGCTGAGGTTAGTTTAGGGTTGTGCAGCCTATTGTTAGGCAGGACCTATTAGGGTCCTGCAGCCTATTGTCTTCAAATCATTCTCCTGAATCCATGTACACCCTCACTTTTAGATGCATCTGACCGGAAATCAGTAAATGCTGTTGCCAGTACATAAAATATTCCTGTCATCATGATTTACTCACATTCGTTCTGCTTTGCTAGGGAAGTGTTGGGGCAAATAGCTGCTTATTTTTAGCCATCAGCCTGACCAAGTCTGACTGACAAAAAGTGGTGCTGCATTGTGAGGTAGTGCCTCTTAAAACAGGCATTTTGGGGAAGGCGGTGGGGGTGGTTGAGAGAGAGGAGTTTCAAAGGTGATGCTGTGACAACTTACTTGGCTTCCAGTGCCAGAGCAAAAATTCCTGCTGCCAGAGGTGCAGATGCAGAGGTCCCCGTGTGAGTTTCTGTACATTCATTGTGAAGATCAACGCTTGTCTGACAGAAAATAAAACAAAAACAAACAAACAAACTCATAAATAAAGAGTTGTACGTACAGTCGTATCCATACTCACAAACGTAACTATGCATCCCTTACTTGATGCGTATTAATACACTCCTCACCAGCAGAAAAAGTGATGAGTGTTTAAATCTGTTCATATTTCAATCTACTCTTTTTGCTTCAACTATAATTTTAGTATCAAAATGTTTCGTGTTGGAACAAAATATTCCCACATTGAATATCTTATTTCAGTCTAAGGTTTCACAATAAGTGTTTCAGGCTTACTGGTGAATCATGAAAACAGATCATTGTGTTGGGCCTAGAACATTCAAAATTACTGCTTACTAGGAAATTACTCATAGGATTAGTATTGGTGTTCTGCTCCGTCTTCAGCAGAACTATAATTTTCAATGAATAAACACAAAACTCATCAGCCCATGTATCTCGACTACAAAGAGAAGCCACTTAATAAGGACTGATCTCCAGGCTAACTTGGAATGACACTGTTTTAATCCCCATCATATTGTAAAATTAGCATCTACCAGGGCTGGAGAGAAATCACAGGTGTTTCAGCATTATTGTGCCACAGCAATTTTCTTCAGCACAATTAAGAAAAGCACACCGGCTGGTATGTCTGCTTGCTGAGGGTTTGGAGACGTTGTTCCTGTCTCTGTCTTAAAAAAGGTAATGGCAAGGTATGGCAGAGGCCCCAACATCACAGGTTTCCATTTTACTCTGAATCTCTCTTCGTTTGCCGTTTGTGAAGAATAGTACCATATCAAACAGTGCAGGGACCACTTTCATACACAAACAGTGCTCACAAACCACAGACAAATTCAGCATGCTTATTGAACTGCATTGACACAACGATTTTGTTTAACCATTGCTTTAAGGTAGAGGAATACAGGAATACAATCACTTTTTGGATTACAAATCCCTTAAAGTTTCCAGTCAAAAGCACTAAACACATAATACATAACATAAAACAGGCACTCAAAGCCAAGCATTTAAGAGGTTCCATTTATTATTTGCATATATCATACCTTTTTATTTATTCTGAAACTGGTAAAAGCAACTTACAATTCTTTGGTCAGTATAATCCCCGCTGCTGTATGCTGTGGCCAGAGTTGAAGAGCACTTCTCTGCATACCAGGGAGAAAGCCCTTGCTGAGAAGCACTGCTAATGGAGATGGTGTAGATGCTATCAGTGTAACCATCACAGTCACAGTTGTCACCCTGACGACCTCCGTTCCCTGAAGCCCACACGAAAATGGAGCCTTTTCCGTTTCGGCCCTAAGGAAAAAAATAAAAAAAGGAAATTAATGGTTAAAAAAGAGATTTCAGATCTCACAATGTATCCTTAACAACTCCTTTCCCCAAAAAGCCTAAATGAGCAAACATAGAAGAGGTGCAATTTCCATAAGCACTGTAGAAGACAGAGACAGAATAAATCATCTGTTTTCGATGTGCCACTGCTCACCCTACAGCACAACTCTTAATCTCACTGGCTGAGGTTTAGTGTTCCAGATACAGCAGCTTTCCTCGGGTTTTCAGGTTAAAAACAGTCTGTATTGTCAGTGTCCAATAGTAAATTTTTCCACATGCTGCTGTTTGATACTCACCATTTCTAGAAAAAATGCCTTTAAAAAAAAAAAAAAGGCAAGTTTAGTGGGGTTTATTTAATTTTCCTTTCCTGTACTCACGGAGGTATGGGTTAGGAGTATGAACAAGGGACACACTGAATACCCTTCCTTCCCTCACAGATCTGTGGATCAGCATCACCAGCCTCCAGACATAACCATGTAAAATATCACAGCTATCACAGCAGAAACATGTATTACTATCCAGTCTTAACCTCTACTAGTTCTTCAGAGGAAAGAAATATGTTTCGTCTGACAAGCAAAATTTCATGTGTTGTTCATTATTAATATCTGTGCACATATATGTTCATTATTAATATATGCACATTTAATATTCCACAGCAGTTGGAATGCAATTTTTTTTTTCTCATTCCATTTAGGTGAGATTTGAAGTTATTTATGCAAATGCTAAGATATTTTCACTTAAAACATTAAAAAGTTAAAAGCAAAGAGAAATAAGATGTACCCTGTGATACGAGTTCTAAATTTGAAAAGAAAAACCACATCAACTGAGGAAAGTTATACAGTGTATTTGAGAACAAAGGCTGCAGTCCAGAAAAGCACTGGTGTACCCCAACATCTGATCTGATTTCACTTAGAGTGATGAAAACAATTCCTTGTTTCTTCAGGTTAAACCTGTGCTTCACCCAAGCAGCAGTGGGAGATCCAGGGATCAGAGCTGTTGTCAATCCCAACACTGGCTGACTTTAAGCAGAATGGAGACCAGACAGACCTTTGCAAAAGGAATCCTTGAATCCTGAGAGGCAAATGGGTAAATTTGTTCCCTATTATAAATAAAACAAGCTGCAAAAAAAATTGCATTCTCCACCAAAGAACCTGCTTTTTTCAGAGTAAGACCAATGAAAATTTGTTGTCTAATTTTCACCTTTAATTCTCCCTCTGCTCTTGCTACCTGCCTATGGACATATAACCTGTTACAAACTCTCTTCTCTCAGTCTCCATTATTCCCTCAGAGTATCTTTGTCAGCTATCAGCATTTGAATTGTTTTCTCCTTTTCTCCTCTACCTACTGATGTTAATTGCCCTTTATCCAAAATTGTCTATTTGCTTGTCCTTCAGGCTAGTTCTCTCTTCTCCCCTCTATGATTCAGTTGTTCTCTCTTTATTAGTACCTGTCCATCTTTAGATATCTTTTCACCTCACTGGCAAGAGCAAGAGTAGTTTACTAATAAATTCATGGCAGCTCTCAGTTTGCACCCTATTTATCATCCAAACAGCCCCAAAGAGTGTAACAAGGAAAAAAGAAACCTGCAAAAATATTGCTCCCAGTACTCTTCATCATGCATTTGTACTATTTTCATTTTAATTGGATCATGACATGCACCAATTTAAAAATTAATGCAATTAGCACAGTACAAGCTCATCCACAGGGTGCTAAAATGCATCACTACTTCGCACAGAAAAATATTCATGGAGCAGGAATTTTGTATTAAATTTTATGGTCTTTTAGTGCAGAAATCCAATTACTGTTCAATGTAAAACAAGCAGCAGAGAAGGCTGGGTGTAGGGTGAGACAAAGGCAGCAAAATTAAGGATGTAAAAAAACCCCAGCTTATCCGTGGAGATTAGCAGCTATAAACCAGTTTAGAAAGCCCTAATGGTGTTTTCTCAAAAGTCCATTCTGGCTGGAAATTTCTCTCACCTGTACTATTAAAATATATCATGTCCATTCAAATATATTTGAGCAAAGACAGCACAAACCTTTTACAATTTTTTCTCTGGTATCAACCATTTTAAAATTCTCTTCTCTGCCAAATTTTTTGCTTTTTTTTTTCCCCCTGAAGTATCATACCTGGTTTATCCCATACTCAAAAGCCTTCTGTGCCAATCTTCCAGGTCCCTCCACAGTTTTACCATCATCATTAGGGCCCCAGCTTGCACTGTAGATATCCACATGTTCTGGATTGAAACCGATTGAACTGGCCTCAATAGCATCGGTGACTATTCCGTCCAGCATTCGTATACCTTCACAGGAAAAAAAAAAAAAAAGAAAAAGAATCAGACTGTATTTACTTTCTGTTCCCTCCTCCCTGTCTTTGTTAACTGGTTTTGATGTTTCCAGTAAAATTAAGCCATAAATACTGCAACCACAGCCAACTGCTGTTCATGTAAGCAATATTGAGGATAGCTCCTGTCAGTGTAAAAAAGTACAGTTAGATTTTATCTGAAAAGCTCAGTGTTTCTCTACAAATATAAAAAAACCAAAACATCAAAATCTTGTTAGCCTCCTATTTATTTCTTTCACTACTTCAGAGACCCAAGAAGATGATGTCTTGCTTACTGTTCCTGGCTTTTCTTATTGCATTCTCTTTCTTCTCTGTCTTCTCTCTTACATCTGCAACAAAGACTCCTCAAGCTGCTAAAAATGCCACTGAAATTAAATAGGTTTTACCAACATTACTTTTATCTTCAAGAGTTCTAAGAGTTTGAGTTCAAAGGCGTAGTTCTGAATGTTCTGACCAAAGCACTTGGCCCCCACATTAAAGGTTTTGCTGTCTCTGTGACGCTGCAATTTCACCAGCTCTTCAGTCTCCACCACAGGAAAAAAAGTCTCAGTGTTTTTCCACTGCCATATTTTGGGGTTTTTCTACTGTGAGCAATCCAGAGATATTCTTCTCATTTACAATTTATTAGGACCTGCATGATCTAATCTTTTTCAGAGAGAGCCTGAGCTCAGTGGTACTTAAAATTCAGGTGCAGACTGTGGTTCATCTGCATTGGATCCTTTGCTGAGCAAAGCCACAGCTCTGCAGTGGGGCTGCTGCCACTGTCCAGTGCTGGAAGACAGCAGAAAATGCAGAACTCTGGCAAAATCCCCACTGTGGTATGGTGCTAACAGCACCAGCAGCAATATAAGAGCCACAGCAGTCAGGATTCAGCCTGTGTTTACAAGCAATAAAAATGTCTGGGTTCCTTTGGATTTGGCAGGTTAGTGCTACAGCAGCTGCACCATTGCTGGCAGTTGGTCAGTTATGAGGACTCGTTCTTTAGTATTTTCCACAAAAGAGGGATTTTGCCAAAGCACAGCAGGCAAAATGTAGTAATTCAATTAAAAAAAAAAGTCCAAAAATATCCCAAAATACCCAACAACATAAAACCTCTAACCTTACCCTTGCAGCTCTGTGTTTTTTTCTTTTTTTTTTTTTTTTAAGCTATTAAGCAGGGGAAAAACGACTGCAAGCATCATTCTTTTCCCAAATGGCTGACCTCTTAATACTCCTAATACTTCAGAGATAAAGCTGAGCTTTATTATTTCATATTCATTAGTGCTAAAATAAGACAAAGGAGTTAATCCTCTCTACCACAGTGATACAGCTGCTCCACTATCACTCCCAAAGCTGGGAAAAGCACCTGTGCCTCAGGTACTAAATACAGCACTTACCCAGGGTTGTCTTAAACTGAGAATGGTTTGATAACTCTTTTTTCTACTGTCTCAGAATTGCCAGATTCTCTCATGCCAGCAAAGACCTGCCCCAGGTGAGAGCTTGCAACACAGGAGATAGTGGGAATGCAAGGAGTAATGTGCTGATACTTCCCACAGAAAAAGACAAGTTTGCAGATAAATAATGTAATAAGGAAAAAAATCCAAACAAACCAAGAACAGTGATCCACAGTGATGAAAATTGTTCAAGGGAAAAAAAAAGCACTGCCTTGGATTCCTGATCATCAGAAACCCTGATTGTTCAAGTCAGGTCAGGGATTCGATGACTGCAGTGATATTCCCTTCAGCAGATTCCAATTATGTCCTCTTGCATAGACTCTTTTCTATTCTTGCTCCCACCATCAGTCCCACAAAATCAAAAGCGGGCAAAGCCCAAGGTAATTTCGGATGCACATATATGTATCTGCCTGGCAGAAAGCTTTTTTTAGCAACACATCACTGTGCACAAATTCTCAGCCCAGTCCTTTGTAAAATGGAGCTTCTAAACCATTTAATTACCATGGCAGCACCATGGAAATATCATAACACTGTGGTACAGTCAGGTATGCATGAAAATACACGTGCCCTGCTTTATACCAGGGGTGAGCAATACACATTTCTCAGCCCTACAAAGGCCAAGAGGTGAATGTTAAAGGGCACTGCAAAGGTGTCACTTTGAAAACTGGAATTAAGAGTGTTTTTTGCTTCACACAGTGCACAGAGAAGCCCATGGTACCCACAGCCACAAAGTAATGGAGAAGTTAGTCAGTATTTCACGATAGGGCCAGGCATTGATGTTACTGGAGAGAAGATTCAGGACTGCTAAACTCAGTACTTTCCCAGAAAACAAAAAACAACAAAAAATAATGGAACGTTTTGTTTTAACCCCCAAGGCAAAGTTAAACCAACTTGTGATGCTGAAAGTTGGAGAACAAGGTATTCCAGATTAGGTCAGGTTTTCTTTCCCTAAAGCAGATATTGACTATCAGAGAGAAGGTCCACCTACAGGACCACTGGATTTATCCAGTCTGGCAACTGCTACAAGCAAATAGCCACTTAAGGAAGTCATCCTGAACTAATGTCAAGTAGAAGTGTGCAATGTGTCATTTCATGGATTTAAAAATAAATAAAATAAAAAAGAAAAAGGAGGAAAAACAGCCTCTGGAGAAATGAATCCTGTAGAGCTCAGATCATCAAAAAAAATCTCCCAGTGTGTAGCCACTCCAAATTTATCTGAATCTTTTGGAGACTTCTCTTATCTTCCTCTGCTCTTTGAACATATTTTTCTTCCACCCCTATCTTATTCAGTCTGGTCACATCTAACAGCTTACAATTTCTTTCAATTCTTTCAATTTCTTTATTTTCCATTCTTCCTCCTCCCCCACCCAAGTGTATGCTACTTGCTGGGTTATGTGGATTGCTGGACTGCTTTTCCTACTGTTATTTCCCTTTTCTAAACAAATCATCCCACACAGATCTGTAGTTTGCATATGCAAATGAGCACAGATCCTATGCAAATAGCTGTGGAAAAACCTCCTCCGTAGATGCAAGAGCCTTAAAATATGGGCACAGTGGGAGTTCAGACATCTTTGCAGCTTCATCCATTTTGCCTTCCTTTGAAAATCTGATGTCTTCATGTTATGAGTGAGATATTTTATTTAAACAGATCATGACAGCATAATGCATCATGGCAAAGGCAAACTGCAAGCCTGACATCCATGACAGCTCAGTGGAGTAACTGGGATCCGACAAAACACCACGGTGAAATGGTGGGAATGAGAGCTATGGGAGTCAATTGCCACTCATCATCCCATTGTTTAAAAGGAAAGAGAGGGAATAATGAAAAAAGTGGGACTGTAAAAATAACTTCCTCTGAGCTAAGTACCATTTGCAACTGATACTTGCATCATGATTGTTTCATAAACAACCAACAGATTGAGTCATCGATTAAAAAACAAAACAACGATATTGATTGATGGGCAAAAAAGACTCTACTTGTTTTCAAATTTAACATATGGTTACTAGACACTAGAGAAGGAAGTTGTTGAAACAAAAAGGACAGTTGTTTGCATAACTTGACTGACATGACCTTTCAAATGTGATTGTGTAAAAGGGAACAATATGCTGCAATTATGGATGGGTAAAATTTCGTGTACTCCTACTTTCACTCTACTACACTCTCCTCTCTTGGTTAAGCAATAGGACTAAGTAATTAGTCCTTCATTCCTTAAAAGATGTCTTAACTCTAGGTAAATGAGAAGTTGTTGCTATTATTTTTGTTGATATTGTTAATATTTTTATTGTTGTTAATATTATTAACATTATAATAACTAGTTTTATTACGATTATCATAATCATCATCATCCCTGCCTATATTGTTGCTGCTGTTGTTATATATTCTATCTATCTATCTATCTATCTATCTATCTATCTATCTATCTATCTATCTATCTATCTATCTATTCATGACCAAATTCCAGACTTTATTAAAGAAATCCTGTCATATACAGGCATCACTCAGCACTGTTGCCAGACAGGATTTTGAAACTTATAATACTGCAAGATAAATGTTTTCTGAGAATGACCAATCATTCATATTTCAGATTAATGGTATCTGGCAACACTCAACATCTATCTCATTTCCATTCATATTAGACATCTACTTATTTTTATTTCCTTACCTCCAACCCTGGAGTTGTAGGCTACTCCAACTCCACATTTTCTGTTGTTGGCTTGCATGGCAATTTCTCCTGCACACCGCGTCCCATGCCTGAATAAATACAGCAAGAATAAAGAACACATCATAACAGCATTGCTGTTTATTATACAGAAAGACTCGTCAAGGACCTTGATTTGTTTGAATTCTTCCTTTCAATAGATGAAATGCAGCTATTGAAAAGCTTTTGAGTTGTAGCTACATGATACAAAAATACTTATTTCACCTAAACTTCATTAAATATAATTTTGCCTATTTAATGCTCAAAGGAACATTTTAATGAGATGATAAATACTTCTCTTAATCTCACTGTAGATACCAGTATTTTTGTACAGTCAAAAAGTGGCATAAAATTATGGGGCTAAGAAGTTGTCTTCAGACAGAAATATGATACAAATATTTTTTAATCAGACGTTTAGAAACTTTTTTTCTAAATGATTGCATTTATTTAGGATTCCAGAAAGTGAGCCCTCAAAGTATCCTCATTGCTATTTTTTTCTTGTAACAAAAGATTTTCTATGCAATTATTTTTATTTTTTTTTCCCCAACAGGTGATTCTAATTCCTCAATACAGAAAGCTTTCCTATAAGTCTCAAGGTAAGAGTGTTCTATTATGTAATGCTACAGCTTGTTATTCAATGACATGCTTCAGCGCTTCTGGGCTGAATTCCATTTACTTATTAATAAAGATTAGAGGCAATACAGGTAGATTTAAGAGATAATGACATCATAACAAGAGGATAATGGCTTCTTTCTCTAAAATAACACTGTAACAAAGTAAAAATGCCATTTTTCTAATGTCTTTCTCATGGGTTTTTTTATCCTCTGACTGATTTTTCTTTTTTTCCCTCCTACAATGATTTGTGTTGTAAATGCTTCTGTACTGTCTGATAGGAAACAGGGGACTAATGCATCAGTTTCTTGCTATCTGTACTGAGTAGTGGCATCCTAATTTGTTTTAAAAATTGACTATTTTGTGTACCAGCTTCTAAGGAGGTCCCTCCTCTTTCTTATGGACAAAATCCATATCTGGGCTATGATGGATGTGCCCAGGTCTAACAGACACATCAAGAGACTTTTTTTTTTTTAATTCCCAGTGCAAAGAAGAGAATTGATGTAAAAATACACTTTGGGAGGTATCTTTCCAGAAACACACAGAGACACATGAATAGATCATTCCCTTCATCTTGCAGAAACACATCAGCCCTTACATGTACAAGGACATGAAGAAATTCAGGACATCATAGGGAGATTACAGTTATGAAATGCTTCATCTGGGAATTTTCAGTGCTTATGCCAATGCTATATGAGAATGCTCTTGCAAACTGGAATACAGGAGGCTCCTTCTGAATTTCCAACAACGCTTCTTAGCGTTGAGGCCAACTGAGCACCACCACAGGTTTTCCTGGGAGGTTGTGGCCTCTCCCTCCTTGAAAGTATTCAAAAGCCATCCTCATCATCCTGGGAAGCAGACTTTAAAGCTCCTCCTTGTGCAGATGACCTCCAGAAGTCCCTTCCAAGCTCAGCCATCCAGTGATTCTGTTACACAAACTTTTTCTCTTATAAAATAATTGCCAGAGGGGACATACACAGAAATTTCTCCACTTGTATCTTCTAACACAGAAACTAACAGTGTTAGTTTTGTTCTCTTCTGACAATTATGAACCTACTCACTTGTTTTCATTTGTTGGGTCATATCTAGGAAAAGGATCATGATCATTGTCATTGAAATCATAACTTGCCTTTGGGTCCTACATGTGAAAAAAGAAAAGCAGAATTAATTCAGGCAACTAGGAAAGACATTTCTAACAAAGAAATGTCAACAACTAGGAAAGAAATTGCTAACAAAATGGGTTCTAGAGTCTGTATTTATTTACTTGATATGCCTCATATAGGCAGCAATCAAGCTGGTAGAATCTGATGGCCATTAACAATTCCATAATTTTTTCATGGAGCTTTAATAATTTAACATTAAACCACTACATACAAACGTGTCTGGGAACTAAATCTACTGAAGGAAAAACAAAACAACAAAATATCCACCCTGCTACCATTGCTAAGTGACATTCAGCTTCCTGTGACACAGACCAGGTTTCAAACCATGCCTAAGGCAAATATTTCAGTCTCTGTACTGCAGGAGCTGACTTACAGAATACACAAGGAGCTGGGGAAGAGTGTCTGTTTATCAAATTTACATCTGATTAATATATTCTATAGCATTCTAATGCTCAAACTTACATAGTTAGCATAGATGTCAGTGTGATTCCACTCCAGTCCATCGTCTAGGACTGTGATGACAACTCCCTTGCCTGTAAATCCTTTCTGCCACACAGGAATAACGTGGAGATCTAGTTTGGGCAGGGAAGGAGTAATTCTTGTATCTTGCTGTGGGACAGAGGGGGTTAAAAATATATCAACATTTTATCTATTTCTACTAAACAGGTCCAAAGTCATATTTTAAAGATGCTGTGAACAATCTCAGCTTTAACTTCTGTATTTTGCTCAAATTTTGTGAACACAAAACAAAAATGAGTTCCATCAAACACTTGCGGCACTGAAAGGTTTACCCCACTGCCTGAATATCCCTGAAGACAACTTCTGAACAAAAAACATCTTGTGTTTTTGGTAAGCAGGCAGCAGAAACTGAAGGGAGTGGTGGGGATGCACCGATGGACCTTGGAACACTGGGTTAATAATCAGACCTGCCAATGTTTGTTCTTTCCATTTGATGAGGAGCCAAGACAGTGCCTGCAGTGCAGTGAGCTGGATTTCCTCCAAGTGTATTTCCTCCTTGGTTGTTAAAGTTAGCCAGAGCAAAATAATTAATGGGTAAAACAATTAAGGTAGTTGTTTGGTTGGGAACAACTGTGTTGAATCACAATTTTCTCTTTACTACCCTCATTGCTGTTCCTCTGGTAAATCAGCTGGAAGTATGAATCATGTATAGCCTTCCCTTCTGCAGCAAGTTTTTTGAAGAGTATCTCTTAAATGGGTCATTTTCCCCCTATAATACTGAATGATCAGTACATACATCTAATTTAGAAAACATGCTTGCAGCCCCCATAAAAGCACAGATGCAAAAAGAAGCACTTTCTTTCTGTTTCTCTGTGCACAATTACATTAGCTGACAGCAGGTTTGTTTATGTCTATGTTTCCAAAGAGATGCTGCAAAAAATACAAAGCTTAGGAAAATAAATTTGCTTTAAGGATGAAACTTCTTTAATTTTTTTGCTCTCTATACCTGACTGCTTCCATTTAGGAAATTATTTGAGATTTCAGGCTTCGTTCTCTTGAATCCATATAAAAATATTTTTTCCTGGTGATGTGTGGAGGTACACTGGAGCTAAAATTGTTGCCATCAAATCATAAAAATAAGGTAATAGTCAGTTATTCACTGAAAGGCAAAAAACATATTTTGGAAGAAAATCTCTAACACATTTATACATTTAATCAGAAAAATTCAATGTGCATTGCGAGCAAGTTAAATAGCATAGTTTTTTTTCTCATGTGTGAAAACTAGAGGGAAAAGTAGTGAAAACCATAAATAGGTAGAAAAAGGAACTACATCTCTGGGACAGAAGAACATTGCCAGGTTTTGGTTTGGTTTTTTTCCCCCAGACTGTTTTTATGAATCCTGCATGTGTCTGTATATTTGTCTAATACAGACATCTTGGAAATATCTTGCTTCTTTGGATACAGACAAGGAAGCAAAGAAACATTCTGCTTCAAAGAAAAGCTGAATTCTTACAGATAACAATATTTTTCTGTTTGAAAAACTCTGCAGGAATCTTCATGGAAATATCTTGTGCTACGTGGTTGATAATTTACCTTCCTTAGCTGAAATGAAGGAAAGCAGCCTAGAGTTTGGTATGATTTCTCTAGGATGAACTCAGGAAAAGTATTTCCAGCCACTCAGGCCCCATTTGTGCTTGACCTTTCTCTTTGATTTGTTATACCTGCCTTTAATCCCATCCCTAGTCTGAGTGAAAGCAATGAATCCTAAACTGAAGGTACATCTAGATGCATAACAGAAACACAGGCTCTTGGAAGAAACAATGTAAAATCTAAATAATCAATTGTATTTCTCAATTGGCACATGCAGACAGAAACAGTGGAGCCCTGCAAATATTTTTTCCTGAGGTTTTGAGCATGTGAGTGAGCTTTAGAGACTCTCTCATATGTAAATCCTAGTCCAGGTGGTTGAAGGTGCTTGTCACTTGCATGCTATTTTCATCTGGTGTATATATTCTGCACTACCAATTTTAATAAAGAAATACATGGCCGGCTTCAGATATGGTAATGGACTTCTTACACAAAAAGAGCAAATATTTTAAAATCGTCATTAAAGTGGATTTTACCAGTTATGAATTTGTGAAATCGCACCCCCCCCCCCCCCCCCCCCCCCCCCAGTACTAAACAGCAGCTGAATTGGTATCTAGAATCTTTGTTGAAGCAACATTCCACAGAAGAGAGAAGGTTTCCTGAAAATGTTATGCACAGAATTCACTCATTTTTACAGCAGACACTGTAAAACGAAAGGGAATCTTCATTTATTCCCTTCAGTGCAATCACTCTGATACTGATAAAACAATGCAGCTGATGGCACAACCACCTTCCCCAGCTCCACAAGGCAATGAAGTCTTACCAGATACCACTGCTGATTCCACATGGGGTCGTTGAAAAGACTTTCTGCTGAGTCTCTCACTGAGGCACGCTTGGTTCGTTTTTTCTCATACTGCTGCTCTGCCCATGACACCTACAATTATTTGTAAAAATATGACAAGTCAACCTCTTTAATTTGTGTCTTTCTCAACCTAGAGTATAAAGGTATGACCTAGAGTATAAGTATTTCGTCACACAGAGAAATTTTGGTGCCTGAAGCAAAATAAGGAACATTTGGTAGAGAAAAGAGGATTATTTAAACTGTAGTACAGTGAGATTTAGGGAGGAGAACTTGGTGAAATCAAAATACTGTAGAATCAATTAACAGAAAATCATTAATTACACATTAACAAAAAACTCCTGTGAGTGACACAAGGCAGGTTTTCACATTGAGTAAAACCATGTAGTATGGCTAGAAGGTCATATAAGCAATGGTGCTTACTGAAACAAGGAAAACCACAGCCTGCTTCTTCCTGCTACTTATCTTTTGTTAACTCTCTATTGGGAGTGAAAAGGAAGGAAGAAATATTATATCTGGCTTCAGTCTAGCAATCATATCCATGCTGTTATTCACAGACCAGCTGGACCCCCAAATCTCCTTCCTAGCAGTGTTTTGAAGAGTGGTCAATTAGCAAGCAATGAATATTAGACTAACTTCATCACTGGCATAATTCCACTTAAGGCAACTAGAAGCCAAAATGCTTCAGCATGCTTTGATAAAGCTTCAAACGAGCCTTTGTGCACAGACACAGCTGTCTCTAAGGCATTAGGCTGTATTTTAAGTGTGTATCACCCTTGAATGTATTACTGAACCCAGTTCAAATGAAATCCTGATGATGATGCCTCTCTCTGTGCTGTGTGCCCCTTTTGGAAAGGGAATAAAACATTATCCATAGTTGATCCTTGTATGGTCACTTTGATGCAGATATGGTTGGTCCTTTTCATCCCAGATTCCAGGCAGGAAAAGCAAACTCAGGTTTGGTAAGATTGCCAAGGTCCTGTGACAAGCCTCACATGCAGGATGCTTTGGATCTAATCTTTTGCTTTCAAGCTGTGAATAGATTCCTTTCCTTTTATCTACTGTGATTGAACAGCTTTGTGATCCTGACATCTATCATCACGTATGGGATAATAATGACTCAGAAGTTATGATTAAAATGAATGATTTGATTAAAATGCAATTTTCTAATGAAAGCCTAATGAAAATTCACTACAAGAACATAAAGCCTTTAAAATGGTAGCTGCATTAGGCATGTTTGCGATTCTCTTTGCTATGTATTTAGTCCTAAAGCCGCTACAAACCTTGGTCGTAGAAGATGAATATACCCATAAAAGCATAGGTATTTTAAACTATCCTTCATATCTCAGGCCATACATACTTGTGCACACGTTGGAACAATTACCTCTATCTCTCTTCCCTCCCCACAGCAAAGCTTGACCTCTTCACCACCCAACAGTAATTAGCAATTGAAAACTTCCATGCTTGTTATTTTTTTTTTTTCATGGTGAGCAAGTGCACTGAAGGGAAATGAGCTGAAACTCCCAAGCACATATGTCAGGCAAACCAGCCAAATGTTTGTCACTCGGCAGCTGGATGAGGTTCCAGCCATCCATCTCCAGCAAAAGCTAAAGGCCCCATGCCAGATCTCCAATCACTGATACATAAAGCAGTAAAAAACCATCTCAACTCAAGTTTACTTGCAAGAAAGTAGATTTGGAAACTAGTGCAAATACTAGAAGAAGTTAGGTAACCAGATAATTATATCACTTTAATGTATTCACAGCCTTTATCTGTTTTACAACAAACTCTATAAGAAGCAGATAAATATTCAGATTAGAGCCAAGTTTTACCACAGCTTCCACACGTAACATACCGTGAAATTCATGAAAGTGTTATACAAACAAAAACAGGATTCCCTTTTCTCTCCCTTTTTAAAGGTTGAATCTAAATCTTTTTAACTAGGCTGCTGCTGAACAAGAGCAGCTCTTTAGAGCAAAGGTCCCTGTGAAACTAAACAGTGTTGCATGATTGCTTTGTGTTTATACACTTACATAATGCATAATTACATCTCATTTATTCACAGACTTAATTTGCATACTGGATGGTAAATAAAATGGAAATTGGAGTAAATTTAGCAAATCACCTGCAGCACTTTGAGTCTAAGAATGCAAGGATGCAATGATGTCTGGTAGCAACACAATACAATCACTTCCATTCTGCTAGAGTTTTAGAATGTGATGTGTTGAACACTCTCATTCTTCTCCACATATCAGATTAATTTGATGCAGTAAGCCCAAAAAAAAAGAGACTGCACCCAAAACTCTGATCCTGAACATCATACTGCAATGTATGACATCTTGTCATCTTATGTAGGCATAATTAGATAATTAAATTTGAACTAGTTTAGACTGAATCTGCAGGTTTGAACATTCCCAAGTTAGGATTATTTCAACTTTAACTGTTAAACCAGCTCATGTTTGCAAGGAAATAGATGATACTATACAGTTTTAAAATAAAACAGGCAAAACAAACACTCTGTCTTGCCACACAGAATATTTCCTCCTAGCTGACATTTGCATCTAAAACCTCCAGATAGAAGATTACTCATTCTGAAGTGAATTGTCCTTATATGATAATTTGCTCATTTTGACAACTAGGTTACTTCATGGTTTGGACAGCTCATATTGTCACAATGATTGCTGCAACAATGTTGATCTTAAAATCAAATGTTGTTGTTGTGACATTTCCCAGAAAACAGTTTGTAAGAGAGGCTGACAGCTTTCTGGTCTGCTCTTTAAATTTGTCATGCACCCCAGTTTTTCATTGTGCTTACACAGAGAAGTGCTGCTCTCTGAAATAAAGCCAGACAAACAAGGAGTCTGCCTCACCAGTGGGTCGTACCTTGGCTCCCCAGTTTGTCTGTTCTCTGATTGCAGTGGCATATCATTGTAACAGAAGACTGCAACTCTGGAATGTTTGATGGATCCTTTGAGAAGGGATTTTAGCTTGTTGTAGAAGCCAATCCAGCAGAACCTCAGCCCTTTTTTCCTACTTCTTTTTTTTTTTTTACTTAATATTCAGTCACTTTAAATCAAACCTAATTCAGATGGTAATTGCACAGACGTGGCCTTAGATTTTTACTTTGAATCCAGCCCCTTGGTTCCCTGCTCACATTTTCATCAGTGGCACATCAACATCTGAAATTCTGGTGCTGCATATTCTAAATCTTAATTTGGAAACTCTTGTGAAAATATGTGGTAAGGGAGGGTCAGATTCTGCCTGTGAATGACAGAATAGTTAAGTATTATTCAGCACAAGTATAGCTGAATATATTAGACTTGCAAAATGAGGAAGGCCTGCCTGTGACCTCCTTACAAAGCTGGCGGTAAGGAGGCAGAATTAAAAAAAAAAAAAAAAAAAAATTAACACTTACCCGCTCATCATCAGAAAGTCTCTTAGTGATATGGATAGCACTTCTTCGGGACCGTCTTGGGTGAGTCTTATGTCTGAATAAGTAGTGGTTTTTCAGGGATCCAATCTGTAAAACACAGGCATGCTTTAATTATTAGGAGGTATCTCCCCACTGTGAACAAGTACCAACAATAAAAACATGAAAGAATTCACATTGCCTGAAAGACAAAAGAGAAAGAAACTAGCCTCTAGATATTTTAATCCAAACAAGGAAGCACTCTTCAAGTAACAAATGCTTCTCTCAGCCTGTGTGCTGCTGAAGGAAGCTGGAGGAGTAATTTCATTTGGGCTACTCAAGTGCAGTCATTACTGCTACAGTACCCAAGTTACACAGCACCTGTACTAGTGACCACTGCACTCATGGACACACCTTGGCACGGACACATTTCAGTGGGCAGGTCGTGCACACTCTGCACAGATAAAACAGAAGTTTTATCTGCTTTTCCCGGGTTTCAGCTGGGCAGGTGTGAAAAGCTTTGTGCAGCTTCAGAAACCTCACTGCGGGGCTGGGTTGCACAGGCACCCACTGTAGCAGCATTTTCACTCACTCAGCAGCCAGCCACCCGGCAAGCCAGGTGCACCCCGCTGACTTTGGGCACCCCGCTCCCCTAAGGATGGGCCCTTTGGCAGCTCTGGGGGCAAATGTACTGGCTGCAAAAGCAGAAGGACTAAACCCTCAGAGGTGGGATCACACCTATGGGTTTGGGAGTGCGGGGAACAAGCCGTGCCCTAACGAGGGGATGGGCAGGCGGACAGAGGACAGCACGGAGGGGAGCTGACCGCGACGCCGACCACGGGGCCGGGCCGGGGGCAGCAGGGTCCCAGCGCTGGGGGACACCGTGCCCGGCACAGGACCCTCTCCGGGAGGTGAGATGAAGCTGCTCCCTCACGGCGGTTACTCATCCCTGACAACGCTGACGTCACGGCATCCCAAAAAAGCGCCCGAGGGATGGCTGGAGAGAAGCCCCGCGATGGCGATGGAGCCGGCAGGGAGGGAGGCGGCGTGGGGCCGCAGCCGGGACCACCCGCACCCCCCTCCTGCTGCCCGGAGTGCCGGGAGAGAGCCGGGAGCTCTGCCCGGTCCCCTGTGGCACAGCGCGGTGCCCGGCCGGTCGCCTCGGGGAG